TATTAATTAAAATACTGAATTTGATTAAATTCTCGATTACAAAAAATAATAGTGAATAACAATTAATATTTTCTACAGCATATAGAAATTAATATTAATTATTATATTTAATCACTACAACAATTCATTGGTCAACTATAATAATGAATATTATTTATAAATAATAATAAAATATTTTTTTGTCAAAACCTAAAATTTTTCACCCTGACTAAATTAATTTTATTGGTAGTTATTAATTATAGAAATTAGAATATAGAAGTAACCATCCTTATTAGGGATGACAAAAATATTCGCACCCGCAGGTATCTGCAGATAAAATTCACTACGAATAATAAATAGATAGGCTAATTGGGTACTCGTGGATAATGGGGACGAATAATTTTTACCCTTTATAAATGAGGCGGGGGCGGGTATGGGTACCCGTTTAATAATATTTCTTAAATATCCTAATCATCCTTGTATCACATAACCCTAAAACTACTCTCTCTCATCTTATTTTCTTACAAAAGTGAGGTTGATGAATAAGTTACCAACATGTGTTAAGCATGTTATAGAATTATGTTGGATGTAATTTGATTAATTTTCTAACTTTGATTGGACCAATAAGATTTATGTATTTTAAGTTATTTATTTTCGTTTGAAATTATGAGATTAAATTATTGTAGCTTTGTTATGAGACTTTAACTTACTTGTGAGATTGATGTATTTTAAGTTATTGATTATCTTGCATTTTTATTTTATTTCAATAAAATTAACGTTAAATACAAGTTCAAAATTAATATTGAATTTTTATTTTTAATATTTTAATGACATTAAATATAAACTTAAAATTATTTGTAATATAATTTTTTTAATTTCTTAAAAAATTTATGAATATCCATGGGTATTCAAGAAATTCATGGATACCCGCTTAATGGATAACCGTGCAGATATAAGGTGGGTATGGGGCTAATTTTTATTTAGCGAGGCGTGGACAGATTTACTATTACCCGCCCCCATGGGGCCCCACTGCCATCCCTAATCCTTATTATTTTCTGCATATTCACTACACCAAAATTAGTTTTTTGTGGCAATTAATTTATTATTTAATAGCCATACAAATGGCCATTATTTTTTTTACAAGCATTTAAATAATGGCTGGTATATCCAGTGTCGCTAATACTATTACCGGCATTTATATAAAATGCTGGTAAAAATCTACTAAATTGTCGGAAAAACTTATTTTTTTAGTGGCAATTCTAGTAGTCATTTTAAAGGCTATTAAAAGTTATTTTTTTTCAATTGTCTCCTTTATTTTAAATAATTTATTCCTATAATTTTCTTTTCTAAATTCATAACTTATATACTTTTTTATCTCTACTCAATGTGAGATTTCTAAGATGAGGGTTGTCTTTTATTTATATATATTTTAATTTATTTTTTTAATTTTCTTGTCTCTTAAGAGATGTGAGATTTATAAGGTGAAAGTTGCTCTCTAATTGTTTTATAACACTATTGAACTTGGTAATAATGGATGATTTGATACCAATTTAGAATAGTAAATTAGGAGTCAACCCTATTAAATGAATCTGTAAGGTGATAGTTATTACTCACTTATATACTATTTAATTATCTTATCTCTAATCGATGTGGAGCTTAAGTTTTTTCTAATAAATAATTGTCGCTAATAATAAATTTTAGTGTAATATAAATACACTTTTAGTGACTATTATATATTAGCCATTAATGTTTTTATATATGGCGGCAATTAAATTATTGTCATTAAATAATTGTCGTTAATAACAAATTTTGTTGTAGTAATTATACGCTTAAATTTAGTAGTTCACATAGAAGAAAAAAAATCAATTAAAATAAGTAAAAATTTCAAGATCCCAATCAAAGGAAAAATATGTATATATAAATACATGTTAATCACTACAAGAAATGTTATATACAGTGACATATAAAAAATATCATTATAAATACGATATATGTAAGTATAAATCTTTTTAACATATAACTACATCAAATTTTACTTTTACTTTTAAATGAGATTCAACAATATATACTATTTATCATTATAGTCTACATTTTTTAACAATATATCAACATATATTATATTAGTAAAGGATATATTATATTAATGAGATTCAAATTAATTAATGTGTAAGTCAAAAGGAATAGTGTAGAATATAATCTAACCAAAAATTTAAAGTTTCATTTATTAATCATTAGATAAAAAATTGAAACCAAATAAGTTTATCATTCTAGTATGTAGGTTAAGAACATAGATTTGTTCTATGTGAGACAATCTTGCTTGAGACGTGTAATTAATAATACTTTAGATGAAAAAAAAAGGCTAAAAACCTATTTTGGTCCCTTATAATAATTATTTGTTTCAATTTAGTCTCACTTTTATTTTTAGTTTCAATTTGGTCCCAAATAAATTAATTAGTTTCAATTTGGTCCCTAATAAATTAATTGGTTTCAATTTGGGACTTCCGTCCAAATTATTTAAACGGAGTTAACTGTTGGTCACGTGGATGCCACATAGATGCATAGGTGGATGCCACGTGGATGCCAATTTTTTTGAAAACACCTGGAATCAGAACGGCCCGTTCTGAAACTCGAACGGGCCGTTCTAAAACCCGAACGGGCCGTTCTGAAACCTGAACGGGCCATTCTAGATGCACTCTTGGTGTGTTAATTTTACATCTAAAATGGGCCGTTCCAGATGCAAAATTAACACACCAAGAGTACAGTAGAACTGTCCATTCTGAAACCAGAACGGGCCGTTCTGATTTCAGA